TTCACTTTTGAAGCACCAACTTTCATGCAGTTTGATTCCTTAATTACCGTACAACCAGTAGCTCCCTGGAGATTAAAACAGTTTTCACTGAATGTATTCGTATTTCTGAATATTGTGTTGTATGTAAAATGTATAAAATATCATCTCCGCCTTAATAAGCATGATATTATTAAACATGTCGTTCGTGTAGAATACGAGTTACTTACATACAAAAGAGGGATGAAAAACTGCTAATTCGAACTCGCTTTACTTTCAGTTTTGGATATTGTATTATACTGAAACCCACTAGGTGACGATAAGTAACGGTATAAGAAGTTCGGCTTTAGCGGGTCGGAGGACACCCTTAAAAGCTGCGGTTTCTTGGTCTGCCGGACTTGATAAAGGTTTCACGGTATACTACGGTACAGCTGTATGGGTTTTCAGTGTAATCAGCATTTTGGTGACCACAAGCACCGTCGGTCCGCAACACAACGGTTGCCGGAACCTCTCAAAAACGGTCTTTAATTACAAACGCGAGAACATATTAGGGCCAAGTGGCGGGAGGGATGTTCAATATGTTTTGGACCATAAACTTCAACCTATGCAAGTACTTAAGAATCCCTAAAGTGAACGGCAGGTTATGAAAATTAATTCTCTCATGTAGCCTTAAAGCCTAGGGTATTTACAATTCGTCTGAAATGTATTTTGTAAAACTATTATAATACGATGGTATAAAATAATAAATTATGTGTTTATTAATAAACTTTTTATTTAAATTTTTAATTTAAATAAAAATTTTCTAACGTAGGAAATTATTCGAATTATAAATCAAACAAACGGTGCAGAGAGTTTTACTATTATATTATCAATACATCATGTGTTATTGTATACTGTATACACATAAATATAAAAATAAACAAACAGTGAAAAACATATAACCTAAACGCTCAAAAATACAACACAAATGTCGATGAATATCAATCTGAGCGAACAAAATCTGATAAATTATTAACTCTATAGGCGATACAAAGATAAAAAAAAACTCCCTCTCCAATTGGTTTGTATAGTTGTTAGATTTTATTGACATACTTGGCCTTTGTCGTTTGTTACGATCTTTTTTTTTTATTCTGGTTTCCTGTTTTTCCCATCTCATCGTTCTTCAGAACACTACAGCCGGTTAGATAAATCCGATTTTTATAGAGATTACAAAACATTTAACCTGTTTTTCTACGAGCAGACTTATTTCCCGAACAACGCCATAAATTTCATGGTTGACTTCGCGCTGTGCCCATTTGAAAGACGCGTATTGGGGCGCGGGATCCCACGACAGATCCGTCCAATTCCGGGAGGGCGAATCGAGTAAAAAAATAAAATAAAAAAGCTTCGGGTGAATTCACAAAATGAATACAAACACAGAAAGTTTAGAAATTATAAAGAAAAATCACTTTAATCTTAAGACTTTAACAATTTGTAAACAAATTAAGCAAAAACGTGAAAAATATTTGTTGTCATAGTAAAGATTGTTAAACTTTATGCTATTATGAATTTTATCTACGAAAATATACCATATTTTATTCAATTGTTATATCACATAGATACAATTGATTGAACAATGACGGATAAAATTAGTTTTTGAGATTTTTGGATAAAATTTGACCGTTTAGGTCGGCTATTTTTCAGTTAAAATAAATTTAAACGTAAATTTATAGACATTTTTATTTTAATTTTAGCAAAATTTTAGCAGGATGAGTTAATGATTAACTGTTGATTTAATGAAATGAGGATGATTTTTTTTGTCCATAATTTGGATGAAACAAAAAAATACGTAAATATTACTTAATTTCTTATTTTTTTTTAAAAACTATTTACTACTGTATAATTATTTACGTAAGAATAATTAGTTATAATCAATCAAATATCTATACGCAATATTTTACTATATCCAAACATTTAGAAATATTTATCTAGAAATTACCAATGTAATAATGTAAACGGTAATTTAAATTGAAGATTTACCAAATATATATATATATATATATATATATATACAGTATATTCAACGATAATGGTAACACGAAATATTTTTAACGCATTACCATGTATTTTATTCAGATAGACTGTTAAAAAATACGATAAATACACATGGCGCATATTAAAATTTTAACTTACTTTCAATTATTCAATTTTCAAAATAGGACAAAACTTTATTAACAAAGTTGTTTAAAAAAATTAATTTTATCCCAATACGAACTCAAAATAGAGGTTGCTGTTTAAAAAAAAAATTGTTTTACTGCACATGCGTGAGAAAAAAATGTTAAAAATTGGAATTTTTCAAAAATAAGTGTAAATTCAAGTTATTTTACAGATATAAAAACCCGAATGAAATTCAAATTATGCGTTGGAAATATATCGTGTTACCATTATCGTTGAACACACTGTACATATGTATCTATAATTAATAAATAAATTACTGAAAAAAAATGATTTACCTAAAACGGTTTATTATATTATGGAATACAGAAATGCCATGAAAAATATTGCCTACAATACATTCGTTTTTTTACTATGTTTCATAGAAATATCCTTTATGTGACACGGCATTTAGGTCAGGGATACCAGAGAAATACACCAGAGAAATTTATTTGGTTGTCATAGTATAAATTCATTGTCAAAATCACAATTGATTTTGTTAAAATATTTAACAGCGATTTCGTTGTTATGGTCAACACAGTAAAATCATACATTTTTGTAAATATTTTAATAAAATCAGAACCGATTGATACTTAAATTTCGACTACCATTTTACAACCAACATAATTTGACAACCAAATCGTTTTTAGCTTAATTAAGTCACGTTCGTAATTAAAAGGAATTAAAACCAAAAAATCATATCAATCACAAAAAAGTACTACGTATGTTTTTACTTTAAATAGATATTAAATGTACAAAAATGTCCTATAATTTGTATACTAAGTATAAAATTATTTTTATTGAAATAATACGCTAAAAAAAAAAAGAAATAAATATTTAATGACAAAGGCAAAATAAAAAAAATAAATAAAAAATATTATATCAAGATTTGAATACGTGTTTAAAGTTTTTGATTTTTAAAATTATTTAATTAGATAAGATATTACCAATATTACATGTTTTTCAGTATTTCATGGAAACTTATTATTGTAAAATATAATTTTTCAGAAAATTATGAAAAGCATTTTTACAAATTTATAAGCGTATTAAAATAAAATTTGTTATTCTCAAGTGTTTTATTTGAATGTTTCTCAAAAACTAACAGTGTGCTGCCATCTATTCAGCCAATAGTAACACAAGACGTGGATATTTTTCAAAAGTTCACAGATATCGCTAAAGACTCCATCACCTGAAGAATAATAACAAAAACATACTTTGCCACGTAGATGGCGCTTAGATTCATTCCCGTTCACCACCAAAACCAGCCAGATCGCATTGTCTGTATAATAAATTAATATTTTAGGGAACGGCATAATAGTTTTAACGGTGTTCAAGATGAATTAAAAAATCGTAAGGTTCGACCGACCATCGACCATTCAAAACACGGCAATTATGCTGTACTGAAATAGATCATCTACTAATCCCAATAAGAAATATCTATTAGTATTTAATATTTAGTTTTTAATGTTACCTTTAAAATTTCAATTTATATACGTTATAGTAAATAATAGTTACTGTACTCAGTCTTCGGGCTTACATTCGAATACATAAATAAATAAATAAATTATTTATCTATCAGCAAAATAAAGCCCAATCGTGTAATTGTTTGCATCAATCTAGGCCATAGGATCCCAAAGTGTGCGCCGTGGTGCCCCAGTACGCCGTGATGTATGTATAAGGGCGCCACGCCGTCATGAAATACTATCAGGTCTAACATTTTTCTTATGATTAGTCATACTATGACTTAGAGAAGGGCAACCTAAAAAAACCTTGGATCAAAAAGGGTGCCTTGAGTCGAAAAAGTTTAGGAAGCACTGATCTAGGCTATTGAATAACGCAGGCCAGGATGTTGCTTGTATGATCAAAGCAGTAGCGCCGAACTTCTAAAATTTTCCTCAAGTCAAATAAAAATATGACAGCCTCAAGCACCTCAACGACCACAAGCCTACATTTTTAGTATGCATAGAAAAATAATTTGTTGATATTAGTCAGACACGTACCAACAGACACCGTACCGTACTGTTTCGCAAACTATTTTATTATGTGTTTTAATTTAGATAATTCATATTTGAACGTTTCCGTTCCGTTCGAATACGTACCGACCTGTCAGAGTCCTTCTAGAATTACTCGCGAGAAATATCGCGAGGTCAGAATATTGCAAACTATAGATGGGCACCTCTGATTCCCAGCCTTATTTTAAAATTGTGGTCAGGCCGCGGCCCAACGTATGCATAGGTTTTGACGTCACTGGATCAAAGAGTATCATGTTTGATAACCATTAACTGATCCATTGTTCTATCAAATTTTAAGGCCTACTATAACTATAATTCGTATAAATGTACAACTTCAATAATAAAAAAAACATATTATTGACACAGCCAAATTCTCGACGTCCAATGGTGGCGAACCACCAACGACGAAAGTATAAAGTTTATGCATTAAATTGTAAAAACAATAATTATTTTGTAAGTGTCTATTAATTATACTAATTTAGTCACCTGATAAGGGTCAAGCGCTGGAATTCGCTGTGAAGGTAAGAACCTTAAATATTTAAATTAAAAAATTCACGATTTTTTAACAACAGTTATCATCAATGCTTTCACGCTACACGTTTGCTCGAGCAAATGACGTATGTGTGTGCTAGCTGTACGGCGAATTAGGGTATCGACATGTTTAAGCACCTTAAACGTTTTAATAAACACTTCATAATAAGGCGAAAATCCATTAACCAGCCCACACTGATTCTAATAATTATCAGACCATTACACTAAATTGTATTATTGTACATGCGGCATTAATACACATCAAATATCATAAAAAACTTCACTTGCCTGTTTGTTAACTGGTGGCAGTATTAGTTTTCTTCGCTTCATCCAAGGGGCATCCGGAGGTTTGGCCGCAGGACGTTTGGATGGCGGCGATCCGGATGGTAATTCCAAGATGTGCCTTATGGTGTGTTTAGATTTAGGTTTGATCATGGTTGTGTTGAACTCGAAACACTCCTTTGCGGTCTGCGAAAAAATAAAATACAACATTGCAAGTGAGAATACGACGGATTTTCCGATGTGAAGTATTTGCAGCTAATTTGGCAATGTACATTTTTTTTCTCCTCCCACATAGACTATATTTATGTCATACAGTTAATTGGAGTCATTTATAAAATATTAATAAAATTCATTAAAAGTGTTCAATGACCATTTTCCTTGTTGTGTTATGATTACAGATATATACAATAACTAGATAGCTAACTAGAGAACATTTGGAAGTCAACCACCATATGTGTAATAGCCAGTGTTTACTTTAATTATTGTTATCAATTCTTATCATTATAAAATACAACATTAATTAAACATAGTTTACAAGTACGCAACCTTTTTCGAGTACTCAAATTATTTCTTGAGTACTGAAATATTTAACTTGACTCGAAATAATTGAAACTTATTTCGATTGGAATTCACATCAAGAAACAATACTCTTTTATCTCTAAATTTCAATAGTAATTTATCATCGATTTGACTCACACTTTTTTTATTTACTACATTAAAATTGATCACTGACTTTCAAAATCCAAAATATTACAAGAAATTAGTGATGGACAGAAGCGAATATTTGTTATTATCGACTATTTGTCAATTTTCATCACAAACAGCCGAAAATCTATAGTAGTATCTATAATACAACCTACCTATTAAGTTATGCATAACTTGTTATAACATGTTCATTTATATTTTACATTTTTTTTTTGCTTTAAAATAAAGTATTCTGTTTAAAAAATGGTAAAGTTAACATTTTTTTTTTTATATTTACTTGATATGTGTTTGGATTTATTTTTAAAACAAATATTTCGTTACAAGTAGTAATTTTGAATCTGTATAAAAATATTATAAATGTAGATAGGTTATTCTAAGAAATGACAAGATGGTACACTAGTATTCTAGTAATTTATATGGATTTTATGAAAATAAATATTAAATACCCCAAACAATTTCTAACTGTGTTAGAAAAATTTTTGATGTACAATTTGTAAAGATTTCGATTTTATCAAATATTTTTGGCTGTGATGTGCTGCTGTTTACTGTCGTTGCAACATCGAATACGATTTCCCCCTCCGCAATAAATGTCTGTATTGGCAATTAGCACGTCTGCGCACGTAATAGTTTCCACAAAAATTTTTGGTATTATGAAATAATTTAATTTTGGTGACTATTGTTAATATGTAATAATCACTGGATAATTCTAAAATTAAAATACACACTGATACTATTATAATATTATATAGATACTCGTATAAATATAAGCACACTCCTAATTGCTAGTATATACATAAGTACTATGCGTTGTCCCTATTTAGCAAAATACTTTTAGTTGACTTTTAGTGAACACTGTTGATTCATCAAAACTTGCCAATTGAATTTTAGATATTGTTTTTTAATTGTTTTAATTAAATTGCAAAAAATTGTGATTATTTTAATGTGCGTTTTTGTGTAATTTATTTCGATATTCGTCAATTGCACCGAATTCGGGACACTACCTGTATAGTATACATCTATTGCGCCGGTATAAAAAGGGTATATTAAAAAGGTATACATCTATTGCGTCAATATAAAAAGACTATATTTAAAAGGTATACATCTATTGCTCCGGTATAACAACTATACAGTACAAGTAAAAATCATAATGGCTAAAAACAAAAATTAAAATTAAAATCAAATTAATCATTCTACATACTTGGTATTTACACTTATAGTATATTATACATATGTACATATTTACATTAATCCTACAAATTTTAAAAAGTTCTTAGATCTAATATTAAAATTAGTTTTGTCTATTTTACTATTTATTTTTTTGTAATAAATTTAGAGTTTGGTCTATTTGTGATAACTAAGAGAACACGTATTATGATTGTTGCGTTACATTATTTTTAAAACTTCATAGAAAACAAAAATATTTGGATGGGGGTGAATAAAAATATTTTCCAAACGCTGAATAAAATGCCTCACGTTATTTTTTTGTCTACTTCCCAATAAAAAGTGTGAGACATACTTATATACGTTTCATGCAATTATTGATAAATGTAAAGAAATTAATTTGAATTTTTCACCTAAATATATTATTATTGGCTTTGAACTGGCCATACACTCAGCTGCTAATTAAATATGGCCTCTGTCAAAGAGAATTGGATGTTGTTTTCATCTAACATAGGCATGGTTTAGAAATATTAAGCAGTGTGAATTGGCAACAGAATACAAAAAAATTCAGACATTGGCAAATTGATTAAATACACTTTTGGTTTATTATATTTGGACCACGAAGAAGTGTTTGATTGTTTTGTTGAAGATTTGATGCCAGAATGCCCAACTGACAATAGAGTCGTTAAATATTGTGATTATTTAGTAAAAAATTATATTTCTGAGGATAGTACATTTATTCCTTGTCTATGGGCATGTAATTCAGCGAATATTCTGCTTACGACGAATGCGTGCGAGTCGTTTTATTCGTATTTTAATGACCAATTTTATTCTAATTCTTCATCTATATTAAGTTGGTTAAATGTTGTGAGAAATTTTGTCCAAACAGATACATATATAAAAATCAATAGCATTGAAATACCAAAAACATCAAAAGATGCAAGTATAATTAAAAGAGGCAAGTACACAATCAGAAACAAATAACGAGGTATCGATTAAATGAAATTTTTTGCTATGAATTCATTAAAAGTTTGTACAGTGATTTTAAAAATAAAGTATAGGTATTAATTAATATATTTTAAACGATTTTTTTTTTTATAAATATTGTGGACTAAATTTTAAATTGGTTAAATTTATAAATTTAACTCTTGGTTAAAAAAAAAAAATGTTTGGAAAACAATGATTATCGCCTCCTCGTAGTGTTTAATTCCTCGTGAGTAACTTAATTTTAAATTGGTCTAAACTACTCTGGGCGAAACGGTAATTATATAGAAACAAAATTTGGGCGAAACGGGTCCCGCCCATATTATAATGATTGTAAGAATTATCATGATATAATATTTATTAATGTAAATTATAATAAATACCAAGTTCCTAATACATTTTGGGTTCGAATGTGGGTTTCATACGACAACATCGACAGTTGTAAGAATGATAAAAATATTCTGTACGATTAAGGGATCTATAAGATAACTATGAACATGTACCACAGATTATATGAATACAGATGGTGCACTCTGTATGCTATAATGTAAATACAGCTATAAGAATCGAACACTTTTAAGGAGCGTGACTACAAGTAGAAAAATACATTTCTTTATAATAATTTATTATTTCTGAACGAGCGTCACTGACTTTTGTTGTGGTTCCACTAAATGCCAGCCAAAATTCTAAGTAAATAATATAGCTCATTATGGTAAAATAGTCGGTACAATCATGTATTTCTTGAATGTGGTCACATTGATCACAGAAGTTAGTCACGCTTCATAAAAGTGTCCGCGATTTGTTTACATTTTGAGAAATCGCCCGAAGTGCACTATCTGTATTCATATAATTTTTGCATATACTATAAAATATAATATACATAGTTTACATTATACCCGTAATGTAAGTATATTACTTTATGATTATGCCACAGACTATAGTTATACAGTCAAAGAATTATAAAACTATGTCAATGTCTATTTTATGCTGATACATGGGCTAGGTAGGAAATATTTTCGGGGGAAGGGGGGGGTCTAGATTTATATTAGTACTATAAAACATTAAAATTAAATATGTATTATTTATTTAATACAACTGAATACCAATACAATATTTTATCCATATAAATTATAAATTTAAAAATATAAAAAAAATTATAAGATAAAACCTTGTTTTCTTAGTTGAAGCTTAAAAATATTGATTACTTTTTCCAGGTCAGCATTAATTTCACGATGAACGCTTAGCAAAGCAAGTTCAATTAATCGTTCATTTACTGTCGAATTTCTCAAAAATGATTTAATACGTCGTAATTTTTAAAAAGTTTTTTTGTAGTAGTAGTTGATACGGGAAATGTAGAAATAATAGTTAACAATTTTTTTATATTTGGAAAAAATTCAGAATCACATTTTAAAAATGCTTCAAATGCTGAGGATAGTCTATAATCTTCTTTTTCTCTTACCCATTTGGATTTCCACAATATATATTCCAAATTAGACTGCTGATGATCCGAAATTATTGTCTTGTAAAAATCCCATAAATTAATTTCTATTTGTATTTTATATATTTATATATTTATATTTTATTTATTTATATATTTATATATTTCTCATTTGTAAAAATCACTTTATTTGGCATAATATTTTGAAAAGATAAAATTAAATCATAATGCTGTTCAAACTTACTTTTTAAATTTGTTATTAAATGATCAAGAAATAGTATAAAAAGTGCTTTTTTATAATATTTTTCAGGTGTAGAATCTTAATAATTATCTCGATTAATTTGTTTTTTTTTTTTTAAATCTTGGTACACTCATTGTGCCACCAACATCAGTTAAAGTTTTTGAAGTTTTTTGTTTTAGTTAAATTCCATCTCAGCAATTTGGTGAAGAAAATTGAAAGAATCATTGATAACTCGAACTATTTTGGGGAGTGTTTGAACACCCAAAAATCCCGCCTTACCTACGCCCATGTGCTGATACACTATGATTATCAATTGTACGCCACCAGCAATGAAATAAATAAAAAATTTATGACTTACGTCTCTACTTATAGATGTTAATCATATTTTGATCATACAATATTTGGTATTTGTCCAATACATTAGAGAATATTAATATGAAGTGCATATTAATTTAGTAAAAACTAATATAATTCTAAAAATAAATTAAACTCTTTAATTTATTTCATTTTATTTAAACGTCCTTGAACTTTTTAAATCTAATAATATAACGTTTGAAGAGATTGATTTTTTAGTATTTGTAAAATAATTTATGAAAATTATTACCATTAATTAAATGGCTAATTAATTATATGGCCAAAATGAGAATTTTTAGAGCA